CGTAAACTGGTACCCCTGTCTTATATGATGGAGATCGGAACCCCATGAAGTCGAACTACTTCCCTGATATATAACATACCATAGTCTTCAGCCATGAAAGTAGTCTTAACCGGTCAGAAACGAGATGATTTTGTGAGTCGATCCTTGATGACCCATATGGAATCAAATTTTTCCCGTGATCACGGTAATTCAGTAACAAAATCCATGTTGATCATCTTCCATTTCTAGGTTGGAATTTCAATATTTTGAAGCAATCCTCCTGGTTTCTGGTTTTCACTTTTAACCTGTTGGAATTTTGGACACTGAGCGACGTATTCAACAATTTTCCTCTTCATGCTGTTCCACTAGTATAGTTGTCGAATATCATGATATATCTTGGTTGACCCTTGATGAATAAAATACCAGGATTGGTGAATCTTTGCCATGATCTGCCTTCGGAGTCCATCGACATCGGGCACACATAACCGGTCTTGGTATCTAAGGACTCCGTCCTCGGATAGCTTGATCACTTTTTTCTTTGGAAAAGGAATGCTTTCTCTTATTTCACCAAAGCTGGATCATCAAATTGCCGTTCTTTTACTTCGGCTACTAACGAGGATTCGACAACATTTCAAACTATGGCTCCTCAACTATCACTGTCTAGAAATTATATAATTAAATTAGCCAACCTTTATGTCTTTAGTTTTTTCTAACTTATAATCTTCCATATGTCGTAGGCTGCATGGATTTCTGACTTAGTGCGTCAGTCACATTGTTTGCCTTCCCGGGGTGGTAGAAAATATCAATGTTGTAATCCTTTAACAATTCTAGCCATCTCCGCTACCTCAAATTTAATTCTTTTTTCTTGAATATACTACATGCTCTTGTGATAAATGAATATGTCAACATGAACTCCATACAGATAGTGACGCTAGATTTTCAATGCAAATATAACATTTGCTAGTTCCAAGTCATGAGTTGGGTAATTGTGACCGTGTTGCCTTAGTTGTCGCGAAGCATAATTAACAACTCTCCCGTGTTGCATTAAAACACTGCCCAATCCCACTCTAGAGGCATCATAATATAAAACGTACCTCTTGGATCCATCATGAAGAGTTGGAATCAGCGCCGGGGTTAACCTGTCCTTTAACTCTTGGAAGCTCTTTTCACAAACATTGGTCCACCATAATTTAGCTTCCTTATGTGTTAACCTCATTAATGGAGCAGCTATAGATGAGGAATTTTCCGCAAATCTTTGGTAGTACCCGGCTAAGCCCATGAAGTTGCGTACCTCGGTAGGAGTTATGGGCCTTGGCGAATTCTTAACTACTTCAATCTTTTGACTATCAACCTTGATGTCCTCTCCTGATATTATATGCCTAAGAAAATCCACTTGGAAAACTTGGCATACAATTTGTGATCTCGGAGTGTGCGTAGGACCTTTTGAAAATGCTCTGCATGCTCTGCTTCTGAACGAGAATACACCAAAATATTGTCCATGAACACGATCACGAAGATATCCATAAACGGCCTGAACACTTGATTCATCAGATCCATAAAAGCTGCTGGTGCGTTGGTTAGGACAAAGGACATAATGAGAAATTCAGAGTGGCCATATCTGGTCCATAAGGCTATCTTCGGAATATCAGCTTCCTTGATTCTTAACCAATGATACACAAATCTGAGGTCAATCTTTGAAAAATACTTAGCGCCTTGCAATTGATCGAATAAATTATCGATCCTGGGGACGGATACATGTTCTTAATGGTGACCTTATTCGGATGTCGATAATCAATGCACATCCTCAACGAACAATCTTTTTTTCGAACAAATAGCATTGGAGCTCCCCATGGGGAAGTGCTAGGTCGGATAAAGCCCTTATCTGTAAGATCTTTCAATTCCTTCAACTTGGCATGAGCCATACTATGTAGAGGGATAGATATTGGTTGTGTATCAGATGACACGTCGATGGAAAACTCTATATCTCTCTCGGGTGGAATCCCTGGGAGTTCATCAGGAAACACGTAAGGAAATTCCTAACAACTGGAACCGATTAGAGGGTGGGAGGCTTTGCCTCTATATCCTACACTCACACCAAATGATAAATACACCCCTTCATCATCCTTTGAGCTTTAATGTAAGAAATAATAGAGAATACAGATAATATACCTGTGACGACATCCGATGATGACTCTAGATTCTTTTATGATGACAATGCATAGATGCGGTTCTGTGGTCCATCCGGACTAGACGCTCCACCTCTACCTCTACCTCTTCATACCAATGGTTGCATACCTTGCTCATGAGGTCATACTGATGATGACGAAGCTGCTATAAATCTCGTTGGCAGAATCATGTTACCCACATCTCTCATTGGGAAAAAATGCATAATGTGACCAGGTTGCTCACAAGAATAGCATAAATCAGAAACTTGGCGGCGATGTCCAAAATGATTTTGACCATATCCGCCACAATGCGGTATCAGGAGTCTCATGTTACTAGGGTCACCACTAAATTATGGGCTCCGTCCTAGGGTATTCTGGTCCTAACCGAAATGAATGGTCCGATCACGAAGCTGACCATGGGACTTTGTTTTATTAGCCATCAGATAAGATGAATGCCGAGGAAACGGAGGTTTGAACTCACCTCGAGACTCACCCATATCACCTGTAGACCGGGCTCTTTTATGTTGGCCCCGATCATGCCCTCGAGCAGCTTATTGTTGCCTTTCTGATCCTCCAAGCTCTGCGCATAGGCTTGAATATGAGCAATGTCCATGTTCGGATTCAAAGAAGAAGTTATACACTCGTTGATTGTGATCCCAAACCATCCATATATCGATGTACTATATCACTTATCTCGGCCACAACCAAAGGAGCATACTTGGACAAGGAGTTAAATTGCATTTTGTACTACCGAACACGTATTTACTCTGCTCCAAATGTAAGAATCAGTCTTGTTTAGCTCGGCGGAGCTTAATAGGCAAATACTGCGGTAGAAAGACCTCGGAAATCTCCCTCCATCCTACTGAGGGAGCAAGAAGTTCCCTAGATTGTTCCCACATTTCATACTAAGTCATAGTAATATCCCGCAATCTATATGGGGCAAGCTCCACAGACTCCGTATCAGTGGCATGCATAACTCATAAAGTCCGCTGCATTTGGTCTAGAAAATTCTGGGGATCTTCATTTGGATATTTTCCTGTAAATATCAAGGGGTCCAAATTTATGAAATCTCAAACTGCCGTACTATATGCTCTATCTGAGGTGGCAGGGGCCTGTCGTTGGGCTTGAGAGGCTACTAATCGAGTAAAAATATTCACAACACTCCTCATATCTAGATCCTATTCAGGAACAACTGGGGGAGGAATCAGAGGCACTTTAGCTTCTCTTTGCCGTTTCGGGGGTATTGGCCCTATCCCCAAAACCTGAGTATCAACCTCATGTGGGGTCCGTGTTGACCCATAGGGGCAGGTGGCACCTGGATGATACCTTCTCATGAATTTTCATTCGATCGTGGAATAACTACATGATGGCTCGTGGTAGGCATCGCTATAAACATAAACAATATGGAACAATAAAAATGAATACATGCGACCTCACTCGAGCGCACGATCTAGATTAGAAGGAAAAGTATTCTCCCTAGATATCCTTTAGCCTCCTGTTTATAAGTATGTTGCATGACATACCCATAAACAAGACTCTATTAGATATGGCTTGCAGACTCCCTAGGATAGACTTACTCTGATACCAAGTTTGTCACACCCCAACCTTGGGAGGAGCGACCGGCACACGACGCTCGAAGGCCCGTGCGAACCGACGTCCATACTTACATTATTTTAATCATAAAACTTGGGCCAACGAGGCCTCCTAATAATAATAACAGAAATTAAAATGTGAACGATTGTGAAAGAAACATTAAACATTAAGTACAACATAACAACTGATGCCAACAAAGGCATAACCAACTCTTACATACATTCAAACACTTGGTAGGGACAGTGCCCCACCGTACCCAAACTAACTGGAACATATACTTTGGTACCAACTGACTTCTGAACAACAACTCCGAAGAAGTGGAGTGCGATAACCAACAACTAGAGCAAACACCGTACTGGGGAGGGACGTCACCGGGTTTATCTGTACTTATGAGCATGAGCACATCGACCAAAGAAAAGAGCGTCAGTACGAAAGATGTATTGAGATGTATTGAGTATGTAAATGGATAACGTATGTATACCAAATACATAACATAAGAGATAGAGGTGCACAAGGTTAACTTGAACAGTGTAGACAAGCCACCGGGGACGTATATTGCTATAACTATGAATCATGAATGTATGCAAGATTTTGTAAAAGTCAAGCCAGTCATTGGGTCCATGCATATATATATATATATATTCAGCCACTCTTTGGGGTATATACACACACACACACACACACACACACTCATCACTCCATACCCGGCCTAATAGAGGACTCAATCGTACCCGGCCTCAGGAGGTCTCGATAGTACCCGGCTTCAACATGACTAGGTGTAGTCGGCCCCAAGAGGACACAGTAGCTTCGCATCACACATAATCGTACCCGGGCTCGGTAGCATCTTATATCATATCTCATCATACCCAACTGATTAGTGGTTACAGAGTAGGTGCCGTACTTGACCGTCTAGATCCTATTAGATTCATATTCGACTTAGCCTTAGACTGTTGGTGATATCTTCTAAAATGAGAAAGAAGAGGGTTGCACTGACTTTTTATACTATACCATGCCTAGGAAAATCCGTCGTCTTCACATACAAAATGTGTCGCCCCACACCGGTTACAGCAACTAGTGGGACTGCTGGCACGCGTCTAATGAAAATGTGTAATCCCATTTGTCCCGCTACGCGTCGCTGTCCGATTGGCCGAGCTAAAAACCAAACTTATCAATCCTCAACTTTATGTGTGGGGTGTAACATCATCCCCCCTGCGGAATATTCATCCTTGAGTGTTGAATCGTAGTCATTCCTTGCAAACCTCTTTAGTCATCTAGGGTTGTGCCCGCCATAGTGGTCTCATTGTTGCCTCCCATAGCATGGAACAAATGGGGGTACCTGGAATTCATATCTTCCTCAGCTTTCCTGGTCATTTCTTCTATGTTATTATTTCTCCAACGTAATTTAACTGAAGCAACCTCTTTGGTTTGCAGCTTACACGCTTGATGATCTAGGATAGCCACTGGAACTGTTTTGTAAGATAGGTCTTCCATAACTTGAATATCTTCGATAGGGGTAATATATGATAGATCAATTAGGCACTTCCGAAGCATCGACACATGGAGTACCAGATGCACTGCTTCCGATTCTTGGGGCAACTCAAGTTTATAAGCCACTTGACCACCTTCTGAATAATTCGATATGGTCTAATACTGGGGACTGAGTTTGCCCTTTCTTACTGAACTTAATCATGCCTTTCATAAGAGACACCCTTAAGAATATCCAGTCTCCTACAACGAATTCCAAATCTTGTCGTCGGTTATCTGAGTATGAGTTTTTACTGCTTTGAGCAGTCAATAAACGACCTCGAATCATTTTCACCTTTTCCACAGCCTGTTGAACTAACTCAGAACCCAATAACTTTGTTTCACCAACTTCGAACCAACCGCTAGGAGGCCTACACTTCCGTTCATATAATGCCTCAAATTGTGCCATCCGTATGCTAGCATGGTAGCTGTTGTTGTAAGCAAATTCAATGAGTGGTCGATGATCCTCCCAATTTCCCTTGAAGTCCAAAACACAGGCTCATAACATGTCGTCGAGTGTCTGAATAGTGCGTTCGTCCTGACCGTCTGTTTGTGGATGATAAGCTGTGCTGAGGTTGATTATCGTACCCAATCCTTTTTGGAATGATCTCCATAAATTAGCCATAAACTGGGCATCCCTTTCTAATGAGATGGAAATTGGAACCCTATGAAGTCAAACTACTTCCCTGATATATAACTTAGCATAATGTTCAGTTGTGAAAGCAGTCTTAATTGGTAAGAAATGAGCTGACATGGCGAGTCGATCCATGATAACCCATATGGAATAAAATCTTCGGCATGATCGCGGCCGGTAACAAAATACGTGTTGATCGTCTCCCATTTCTAGCTTGGAATTTCCATATTTTGAAGCAATCCTCCTGGTTTCTGCTATTCACTTTTAACCTGTTGGCAATTTTGACACTGAGCGACGTATCCAACAATGTTCCTCTTCATTCCATTCCAATAGTATAGTTGTCGAAGATCATGATACATCTTGGTTGACCTCGTATGAATAGAATACCGGGATTGGTGAATCTCTGCCAAGATCTGCCTTCAGAGTCCTCGGACATCGGGCACACATAACCAGTCTTGGTATCTAAGGAATCCGTCCTCGGATAGCTCAAACACTTTCTTTTTTTGAAAGGGAATTCTTCCTCTTATTTTTATCAAAGCCGGATCGTCAAATTGCCGTGCTTTTACTTCCGCAACTAACAAGGATTCGACAGCATTTCAAACTACGGCTCCTCCACTACTGGTGTATAGCAATTGTAAAGCCAATGGATATAAGTATTTAGTCATTTCCAACTTATAATCTTCCACATGTCGTAGGCTGCCCATTGATTTCTGGCTTAGCGCTTCAGCAACAATGTTTGCCTTCCCAGGGTTGATAAAATATCAACATCATAATCCTTTAACAATTCCAGCTATCTCCGTTGCCTCAGATTTAATTCTTTTTGCTTGAATAAGTACTGCAAGCTCTTGTGATCAGTGAATATGTTGACATGAACTCCATACAGATAGTGATTCCAGATTTTAAATGCAAATATAACAACTATTAGCTCCAAGTCATGAGTTGGGTAATTCTGTCCGTGTTTCCTTAGTTGTCTCGAAGCAACAACAAATACTCTCCCGTGTTGCATTAAAACACTGCCCAATCCCAATCTAGAGGCATCACATTATATAACGTAACCCTTGGGCCCATCAAGAAGAGATAGAACTGGCACTGAGGTTAACTGTCCTTTAACTCGTGCAAGCTTTTCTCATAAACATCGACCCACCGAAATTTCACTACCTTATGCGTCAACTTTGTTAATGGAGTAGCTAGAGATGAGAAATTTTCTACAAATCTTCGGTAGTACTCGGCTAAGCCCAAGAAGCTGCGTACCTCGGTGGGAGTTGTGGGCCTTGGCCAATTCTTAATTGCTTCAACCTTTTTTACTATCATCCTTGATGTCCTCTCCTGATATTATATGCCCAAGAAAAGCCTCAGGGTTCAGCCAGAACTCGCACTTGGAAAATTTGGCGTACAACTTGCAATCCTGGATTGTGCATAGGACCTTTTGTAAATGCTCTACATGCCTTGGTTCTGATCAAGAATACACTAAAATATCGTCTACGAACACGATCACGAAGTTATCCAAAAATAACCTGAATACTCGATTCATCAGATCCATAAAATCCGCTGGTGCGTTGGTTAGGACAAAGGACATAATGAGAAATTCGTAGCCATATTTGGACTGAAAGGTTATCTTCGGAATATCTTCTTCCTTGATTCTTAACTGATGATACCTAGATATGAAGTTAATCTTCGAAAAATACTTAGTGCCTTGCAATTGATCGAATAAATCATCGATCCTCGAGAGCGGATACTTGTTCTTAATGGTGACCTTATTCAGCTGTCGATAATCAATATACATCCTCAACGATCCATCTTTTTTCGAACAAACAACACAGGAGCTCCCCACGGGAATTACTAGGTCGTATAAAGACCTTATTTAAAAGATCTTTCAATTGAGTTTTCAATTCCTTCAACTCGACAGGAGCCATCCTATACGGAGGGATATATATCGATTGTGTATCTGGTGGCACGTCCATGGCATACTCGAAGATAGGGCTATTTTTGCTATGTTGAGCAATTTTTCTTAACTACAGTCATATTTTCAGTCATGATATGATATTTGCGTGTTATATCTCTATTTTTGTACACCTTTTTATATGATATCTCACATGTTGTTAGTGTCCTTGTGTGTGACATGGTTTTTAGCTGAGTTGTGGCACGTTGGTGCATTTCGTCCGATATTTTGATAACTGGTGCACTGAGTGTTGTCATATTGAGTCTTGAGGAGATTGATAACTGATCTTAGGCCATAGAGTCATGTTGATATTGGTATTGAGGTGACGCTTGCATCAAGGTCCCATATTTGGCTGAGTGATATTTATCATTGACTTAGATGTGATTAGTGCTTTGGCCAAGATACGCCCCTCCTGAGTCAAGTAATAACCTGCGAGTGTAGACACACGAGATGCGCTTAGTGAGGGACTTATGTCAGTCACCCGTACAATGTTAAGTGTGTATGTGTGCATGTATGATGATCCAGGGGCATTATGATAGAAATTATGAGAGTGTTGAGAGTATGATTGAGGGGTACTTATGCCATGCACTATGAATGTGCTGAGATTTTGTATACTTGATGATTAAAATGTGATATTGTTGGTTTATCATGTATACTTGTCATGTAGGCATGGAGATGTATTTTTCCTTATGCTAATTGGTATTTGATGTCTTTATTTGATGTTTTGAACTTTAAATCGCAGTTTACTTTGATAAATCCTTGTTTATGTGATTTTTGTGGAATGTTGATGCCTTGACCGGTATATTTGAAAAGCATGCTTATTTCTCCTCTTATTGTGATAGGGTTGAACCTGATATTATTTGAGCTGCTTTTCCATTTTCCATTATTATGATGTTATTGTTGTTGTTGGATGTTGAAAGTGAGTGTTGGACCTAGCCAAGCTCATCACTGCTTTCAGTCCGAGGTTAGGCTTGATACTTATTGAGTACATGGGGTCGGTTGTACTTATACTATACTTTGCACTTTATGTACACATGCAGGTGTTGCTGATTGTGGTGGTTGCTAGTGATCCGTATTCGGATTTGTTGGAGATTTCAATGTAGCATTGTTGTTCCATTCTCAGGCCTTGAAGTCTACTCTTTTATAGCATGTTATTACTATTCAGTTTTCCAAACAGTATTGTATTTGGTGCAGACTTTGTATTTAATACTCTATAGAGCTCATGTACTCGGTGACACCAGAGTTTATGGTGATTTCAGTTGTATCATTATTTGACTTCAGTTATTTATGTTATTTCGCCATTTGAGATTATTTCTTACTGTTGTTGAAGTTTATTTCTGCATATTTGTTGTTGGTGTTACACCCCACACATAAAGTTGACGATTGATAAGTTTGGTTTTTAGCCCGACCAATCGGCCGGCGACACGTAGGGGCAAAGGGGATTACGTGATTTCATTAGACGGGCACCAGTTGTCCCACCGAGTGAAGTAACCCAGGCGGAGCATCCCATTTTGCATGTGATGACGGCAGAATTTCCTAGGCATGGTATCGTATAAAAAGGTAGTGCAACCCTCTTCTCTCGCATTCTAGAAGATATCACTAACATCAGTTCTCCTAAAATGCTATCAAACCCCCTTTAAAATAACCCAAACGGTCTAAGGTTAAGTCGAAGGTGAATCTAGTAGGATCTAGCATGAAGAATCGTCAATATAATATCTATTATCTTATTGCACTAATTCTAGAGATTCATTGGAGGCAGACTTAAGCCCCATAAAAGCCTAGTTCGTTCTTCAACAAGGTATGTAAGACAACCTTCTTTCTTGGCATGACTTAGTATAAACGTCTCTCCCCATTGCAAATGTTCCTGTTTTGTAAGATTGGTTTAACCCAAGGCCCTTTCAATAATGTTGTTTCTGTTCTTGTACATTGTTCTTATCGGTGGCATTCCTTCATGTTTGAGGTGTTCCTAGGTAATATCATGAGGTTAGAAAAATATGATTCATGATACATTCTGAGTTTAATCTTGGTATTTCCTCAGATTTGACTTAGCAGTGCAATTATATATATATATATATATATATATATATATACAAGAAGGGTGTGCCTCAATGTGTGTAATGTACTATTCTTGATATTTAGAGATGTGCGAAGAATATGATCCATATGTTGAAATGCCTAGGCTACAAGCCAAGATTAAAACTGAGATTGTCATGCCAACTATGTGAAATCTTACCTATGCTTATAACTTGAATTGCTTTTGTATGTGCTTATNAGATATTACAGGTTGTATATTCTCTATCCCTCTTTATATTTCTATTCTTATTTATGCTTCTTACCTTACATACTCAGTACTTTATTCGTACTAACGTCCCTTTTATTTGTGGATGTTGCGTATCGTGCTGCAAGTCCTGATAGATAGGTAGACAAAGCTCCCCCACTATAGTAGGCTGCCCAGTTCAGTGGTTATTGGCGAGATCCCTTCTCCGAAGCCGTGGTATTGGTATGCATTTTTGTTATAGACATTATGGGTATGTCGGGGCCCTGTTCTGGCAATGTTGCAGCACTTATGTTCCTTTATAGGCTCATAGACAGGTGTCGATTCATGTATAGTTTGGATAGCCTTATCGGCTGATTTTGTTGTATAGTCTCTCATGGTAGCTTGTCGGCTCGTACCTTATATATAGCTTTATGACAACCTTGTCGACTTATGTTATGTATGTTCATGCCATTATCTATCATTGTTGGTTGTTCATGATTCATGTCTACCATTTATGTTGATCTCGTTGGCCCTTATAGATAATATGAAAGGTTAGATAAATGTACGTTGGTGCTCGGC